AGGCCAACTGAGGCAATTGTGGGAGTAGCATTTGTTCCATCTCGCGAGCAGAGACTGTAATTCCCACAGCTCACACATGAAGTCATGTGTGCCACATTATGGGCTGAGGCGAAATTATCATGCTGCTTCTTTTAATCAGATATGATGTCAGTTGTCTTTTATGAGTACATCAACGCTAAATATATTTTTAGCTGCTTCACAATGCAGGGCACTTTAAGGAAGCGTGTGGTGGTTACTTTTGTTATGTAACATTTCTAGATTCATTTATTCATTCAAGCGCTGTCGAACATGTACCCGTCACAACTTCCTGCCACAGGACCCGGGCTGGCTTTTTCTAAGGAAACACCAAAACGATTAAAGGATTCAATCAAGACGTCAGAGGAGCCTTAACAACAAAAAAACAGAATGAAATTTCCAGTGGTTTATCTTCACAGCTGTGACTAACTGCAGCTTCTCTATGTTGTGTATCAGTTTTTTTAAAAAAAACTGTTTTTGGCCTTTGGATGTATTAGCGTGACAAGACGGGGGTAATCTCAAAAGTTTTGATATAGCTGATAGATCAGATTTTCCCAGCCTTTTGCAGTTAGGTTCACTAGGATATATAGCTTAAATTATCAGATAATCACCATTGTGGTTCTTTAATCTATATACTATCTAATTTAATCCAAGAGTGGATGTTAACTTTATTATAGATATACATGATTGCACAAAGACCCATGAAGTAAAGCAGTGTTCATTCATGTCCGGTGTTAACTGGACCGAGGTCTTCACGGTTCATTTAGACCACAGAGACGCAGAGATGTCACGGGGTTTCCACAGCTCTGCCCTGCCCCATGAGTGTGTCCCTCTGCCTGGCCTCTGGCCTGCTAATTATCAGCCAGCTTGATAAAGTCATTAATGACCTGACCAGGCCTGCTGGGCCTGGCACTGACACACACTTGTATGTGTGCGCACTACAGAGAGTAAGCCAGACAGTGTGAGGCCAGTGTTGGATATAGGGTGGGGAAGTCTTTTATTTGGGACAAGACGGTGTTTCTGGGCTGGGCTGGTTAGTATTAATAGCTTCTAATGAGTGTCACTCTGAAAAACAAAGCAGCAAATGGAGGAGAAAGGGAAGTAAAAGGTGTTGCCATCCTTTTTACATCATCTTTCTTTAGTTCTCCTTGTGTATATATGTTCATGAAGGATCAAGAATGTCTTATCAGCATTTTGACAACAACCACGCATATACCCACAGCTGTGATATTCCTCTTTTTAGATTATTTAGAAGTATTGTTTCTGTGCAGCCGCATGCATGCACAGCTCCTCAGATAGACAGCATAATTAGCTGTTGGGGGCATTTCATAAAAACAAATGGATTCTTTGAGGTTCTGAGCGGTATTCCCTTTCCTTCTTGTTCATGTCTTACAACTTACAACATGTGGATGTGTACATGCTTACATTTTGTGTGTCTGCAAAGACGTCATTTGCCTTCCCTGCATGTTAATTTCATCATTGGGAAGCAGAGAGGAGCCATGGTGGGGGAACGGGAAAGCGAGGAGGGAAGAGAGGCGAAGAAAGAAAGATGAAAGCAGCGAGGAGTTTTCTGTTGTAGGGGAGAGGGGAGGACAATCCCTGCCTGTGGTTTCCATGACAACAGTGACATCACTGTCAGGGTGCTACCTCCTGAACTGTTTGAGTTTCTGTACTGAGTGTTCGCAATCAAACGAACAGATCGGAGTGTGCGTGTGTATGTGAGAAAATGTGGGCATGGCTGTATGTGTGAGCCGTTTCTGAAAGAGATCAAACCTCTGCTTCAGTCGCTCTGTGGTTACCCACTGTTGCCAGGCAACGGCAGTCATGGCAACAAGTTGAAGCATGTAGTAGCGTTGCTAAGCGAAACAAGAGGGTGGGGTGGATTGTTAGCATTGAGATACAAGTGGGTTTAAATATCATACACAGTAAATATGGTCTGCAGCTTAATTTTACAAAGTCCTATTAAAGTGGACCCATTACTCTTGTTATATAAATTCTGTTGCAATGCCAGATGCTCATTACAAACATGGCCAAAGCCTCAAATAATTACATTAGTGTATGTACAACAAATCTCAGGCTTCAGACTGACTTTTTTACCCTTGATTCTGTATCATGTCAATGAGAGTAGATAACCTAATATGATCATCTGACCACTCCCAGGCTTGGCTGTTAGACTCAAAGCCCCACCCACCTGTTGTTCAAACCTTGTGAGGAGCAGCCAATTAGAAAACAGTTGGCGTAAAGTGAGAACAGCTTGTCTCAGTCAAAGGATGAGTTAAGTTTAAGGGAAAAAAGGAACATATTGAAATATGGATTATGCAAAGAGTCCAATATTTTTTTTTAAAAAAAAACTGACCTTTAAGCAAGCAACATGTGCTCCATAAATCCCAGTAACATCCGAGGTGTATTTCAAAACAACACCTAACAGCTTAAACTGAAATACCCTATTTCTATAGAATACATATTTCATTAAATATTGCCATAAATTCAGACTGAGAATTTTTTGGTGTGTGTGTGAGATTTTTTTAATGCCAAATTACATGTACTGTTTCTGTTATATTTACTTATAAAGGAAAGAGTAAAGTTAATGAGTAAATAATTTCAAAACAGCGATATTGCTTAAAATTCTAATTTTGCATATTTGTATAAATGACCTCTAAGTCTGAACAGATCCATTTGTATGATAGAGACCTTTGGCTTCGGTTAATGAGCGACCCAGTTTGTATGTATTTTTAAGTGTAGATGTTAAGATGATGAAGCATTTAAAATAGCAAATGTGAAATGTGCCATTTACAGAAATGCTGCTGCCTGTAATAAAAAGAAAGGTAGCACTTTATAGTACAGCTCAGTAATAACATGATAATAGTGGTGTAATAATCAAAAATTTGTAACGCACAGTTAAAAAAAACCTGTCCAAAGAGCTACACAAAACAATAAAAACTTCAAAAATAATAGTACAAGATCACAAATATAAATGTGCCCGCAATACAAAATAACCACCACCAGTGACAGATTATGAATCCAAGAATACCATGAAATACAGCTAGGTTTTCAGATTTAAAGACGGCAATAATTGGAGCACTTGCTGGTTCCACGATCATGGATGCAACTGAGGAAGTCCTTCCATCTGTTTGAGCCCAGAACAGAGAACACGAAGTCCGAGCTTGTCACTATATCTAAGAAAAGAGGGATTGTGTGAAGGTGAATAAGAGAAATCATATAGGTGAGTGCCTGACCAGTGAGAGCTTTAAAAACTATTTATACATCTTGAATTTAATTCTTAAATGGAAAGGGACAAAATGTAGTGAAGCCATTATGGGAATGATATGATCTCATTTCTTAGCACCAGTTAAGTCCAGATGCAGCATTTTGAAGTAACTGGAGGCAAGATAGAAACTTCTAAAGGAGACCACAATACAGCAAATTATAACAACAGGCAACAGGCCTGAATTACTTTATCTGTGTAAGGATTAAATAGAAAATATTTGAAATATTTGATGATAAAGCTCTGTTTTGACAACAGATGACAATTTGTTTGTTAAAACGTAGCTCAGGATCCAGATTCTTCACATGAGACTTAACACAGAGAGAGGGGACCCAGTTTTTAAGGAAGAGAAAAAGAACCTCCCAATTTATAGGAACTAAGAATGAATGAATTAGCTCTTGATTTCCATTAAGGATTCAAGAAGAGGAGTTATAGAGCCAGTAAAAGTGAACCCAAAACAGACACTACCTAGCCGTTAGTCTTGGTAGTGGTACCTTGGTAATGACTTTGAGAGCATTACACTATTACCTTCTTATTTCCACACATTAAACCACTATTACCATGTTATAAGATTTTAGTTCATACAATAAAATTGTTAATAAATGTGATCATTTGCAGGTATATGAACAATCGTGTTCCTCCTAACAAGAGATACCAGCCCACCGAATATGAGCATGCTGCCAATTGTGCCACGCATGCGGTAAATGTGGATGCACACACACACACACACACACACACACACACACACACACACACAGAAAGTGATCATTAAACCCAGTGAAAATAAGAAAAATCATCATTACATAACATCAGCAGCATCATGCTCGTGTTTACAGTCAGTCCTGCCTGCCTGCCTCTTTGTGCCTCATGTTTCATTTATGCTATGAATTCATTTAGTTGTGGATAATCCCCAGCCTGCTGGGAAGCTCAGTGTTGCACTTCCAGTCAGAGGACCAATGGGAGCGGCTGTCAGCCTGGGTGTATGGGGCGGGGCTCAGCTCACTCTTCATCATCTCCACCCTCTTCCACACTGTGGCCTGGAAGAAGAGCCACTTACGGTATATATACTTATATACACACACCCACATATATACATTGTAGCACAATATCTGTGATGCATTGGATTATTTTAAATATATCATTTTTAATAATGATGTTTCATATCTAAACTGAGTCGTTTCTGAGCTGTTTCTGCTCCCTCTTCAGGTCTGTGGAGCAGTGTTTTCACATGTGTGACAGGATGGTGATCTATTTCTTCATCGCTGCCTCCTACGCCCCTTGGTAAACAAACTAGCCTGCTAGGCGTGTGTGGGTGTGTGTAAACTGTATATATAAGTAAGTACATTATTCAAATTTTATTTATATAGCTCATTTCAACACTTGTGGTACAAGGGGCTCTGAATATGAATAAACACACAAAAGATGATTAAAATCAACATAACAGCAACAGACATAACACAGAACCCCCAACCACCACCACCACCAGCAGCAGTAGCAGCAGCACATATTACAGATATCAAATAGTGTTTCCAATAACTGGTACTCAGAGAGTGTTTGTTGAGCTAACTGCAAGGAAACTAATCCTCAGTCTGGGTCCGTTGTGAGAAAACTTATGCACCCTCCTGTTGTCAGTCATGATTTAGTTACATAGACTGTAAATAAAAGATGGCTTTATTATTATCTCCCCCCCCTTCTTTTCTTTTTAATTAAATGTGACAAGCAAGTGGATCTGACTCAAAATTGGTGTTAACGGTGAAACTGCTCTACACAGTTTGCAAAGCGTCCATTAGTTCTGATTGGATTTCATGTCATCAGAAGATTTTCATTTTCATTTGGAGGCAAAAGTGTCAATACGTTTTAGCCTGGTTTTTGTCCTGTTTTGTGTTTCTGTTTGTGATCTTGTTTTCATAAGAAAAAAAAGGTTGGTGGTAAAAACTATGGAGAAAATTATTGGTCAGCGAAATTAAAACTGCTGAAATCCTGAAAACACTGCAAACTTAGGATCTTATCAGTGACAAGTTAGCCAAAGCATATCCTGTTTTATGAGCTGATTGGAATAATAGTTTAAAAAATAAACATCATGCTGTATTTTAAAAGATTTGCAATTAGAAGATGAATCCATGATATTTCGTCATGGATTGTCAAAGGTATGTGCCTTTTTTGACGTGACGCTGTTTACATGAGATTAATTTCTAAAATAGTGGATATATACAAACTACTATTGCTGTTAGTCTGACTATCTGCAGTTTTACTGCAGTTTTACGTGTGTATTTGTATATAAGTATACACACGCAGTTACTGTCCCTCCATTTAGAAAGTTCACTCTGACGCCTCTACATTCAACACAGATGCTGTCACAACCCAAATCCCAACGTCGGTTTTGAATAAATTTACTTTTTTGAAAATTTTTAATTTATGTATGCTGTATGCATTTTGTTCATTCCTAAGTTGTGATTCTACACCAATCAAAATACTGTCTTTAGTAATTAACATTTGAAATGCTGAAGGTGTTTCAAAAGTAACACAAAATTAGCTGCTTTTCCAGCAAAACAAAAACTTTTCAGAAGTACTTAAGGTTTTGTAAGGGTACAAAACCCTGAAGTCTTTCCCTCCCAGGCTTCTAGACTTCTGATTGGCCAACATTTTATTTTTAGCGTTTACATGTGGAAAGAGATATTTTTTCAAAACTTCATGTGTAGATGACATTTTTTTTGATTGATTGATTGATTGATTGATTGATTGATTGATTGATTGATTGATTGATTGATTGATTGATTGATTGATTGATTGATTGATTGATTTTTTAACAGGCTAAACCTGCGAGAGCTGGGTCCCTGGGCGTGTCACATGCGCTGGTTAGTTTGGGTCATGGCGTCTTTTGGAACCACCTACGTCTTTTTCTTCCATGAGAGGTCTGCTCACATATTTATTTTCTTAGTATGTCAAATATTTAAACTTCTTTTAAATTGATTAAGCTTTTTCCAAGCTGTTATTAAGATTGCCTAACTTTACGCTCAGTAACACCCGTCCTCAGTAACCCATTGCTGTCGTAGGTATAAGCTCATGGAGTTGATCTGCTACACAGTGATGGGAGTTTTTCCTGCCCTGGTCATCCTCTCAATGGTGAGGCCACTCACATTTTCTGCTGCTCTGATTGGGTTTAAAATGACCCATTAAACAGTTTAAAAATAATAAACTTAATGCCTCTTCTCAGCCGGAGCAGTCCGGGTTGTGTGAGCTGCTGGTCGGCGGGGCCTGCTACTGTTTGGGAATAGTCTTCTTCAAAAGTGACGGCATTGTCCCATTCGCTCACGCTATTTGGCACATGTTTGTAGCTATGGGAGCGGCCATACATTACTACGCCATCTGGAAGCACCTCTACGCCCAGCCACCCAACCACCAGGTCCACACCTCCAGATGACATCAGCACTGACCTCACAGGAAGTAACTCCTGTTTTTGAGCGGATACGAGGGGCTGTCCACATTCAGGGGCTGCCTCATCTTGAAGGTGGGGGGATGGGGGGTGGGGGGGTAAACATGCACTTTTCAGTGTGACAGAAACCAAAACTAATGGTGCATTCAGGTCCCTCTCATCAGTTCGAAATGTTTACCATTTCCATGTTTATCACCAAAAAGTTGCCTTCAAGCAGCCAGTGAATGAATGGGTAAAACGGGTCAGACAGCAGTTTACCAGGGTAATGAAAATTATCTTTTTTTTTATCTGTAGTACTTTGTATTTACAGTCATATCCAGACTGCTAACAAAAACACACATATGATTGGTTTATTATGCATGCAGTAATAATTAGGAATTTAAATTTTGGGTTCTAAATTCCTGCGTATGTCACAACTTTGATAGCTACAGACGTTTTATTTTCATCTTGACTAAAGAGAGCTGCATGTTATCTCTCTCTTATATATGGTTAGGATTACCCCGTGTGCGCAAAATCTAAGTTATAAATCCAAATCAAATCTTTTTCATCGTCTTCACACTCCTACTGTTCTAAAAATAGCACCTTTTAAAAGCAATTTAAACTACTTTACTTTTTCTTTGAGGATAAAATAAAATCACATCAAATAAATGAAATAGCATAAAATAATGTAATGGAATACAGCACAGTGTGAAACACAAAGAAATACTTTAAGCCCTGTTTTAAGACAACAGTTAATTCATGCAGGTGTTGGAATTTTGCTTTGTGTTGCAGGTACTTCTCCTTGTTTAGCTTTGAATCTGGGACAGGAAGTACTGCTGGCCTAGATAATGACTGATGGAGTCAAAGATGTGAGACCTTAATGTGACAGCTTCGATTCAGTCTGAGAGGCAAAGCCCAGGGTGGAAAGTATTCATGAAACACTTCCCCGCTTCTTGGAAAACTCAGAAAAAAACTCATGTGTCTATATCAGTATTTTATTCATTCAGATCTTCTGCCGTCTGAATTTTAGACAGGAAGTTAATCGACTCTTTTTAATTTAATTCTCGCTAACCGATGACCAACTGAATCCAATTACCTCCAGTGATGCAATACCTCCTGACGTTCTGAGCTGAGAGGGCAATCAAATGCACCATTTAGCGGTTAATTATCACGTTTGGTATACATGAAGGATAAATATGTTGAATCTGAACTTCAAGGCTGGCAGCTCCTGAACTGGGGACCCCCCCCTCCCCCCCCCAGATCATTTTAGTTTTACACTTCTAACAGTATTTTCCAGGACTTTGGTTTCAGGGGTTACTATTCTCGGAGATTTCTCTCTGTGCCGTGCGCGCCCAGATTTAGTGTGCAGAAGCGGAATTGAGGGCATTGTCTATTTGTCAAGAGGAAGATCACTATTAAAATTGGCAGACTCGACTCATGAGATTAATATTAGTGTTTTTAGTTTGATTACACTAAGCAGGCTGCAACATCAGTAATGTACTATTCCCAATTCAGAGCTCTAGATAGTATTATTACTGCTATTGTTATTAGTTGTGCTATCTACACCATAGTACTCTGTATGATTTTAACAATAGTTGCTTAAGTCGGTGACTTCCTGTGAAGTTTTTTAAACATGATCGTAGATATTTTTTTTCTTTTTTTTAAGTTGAACACTGATATTTGTAGTTTTAGTCTTGGAGACTTTTACTCGTGTGCTTCCACATATACCTGGCGCCACACTTTCGATTTTTGAGCATAAACACTGAATTCTAATAGTTTACTGTTGTCGATTAGGTTTAGTACGTGAAGATACAGTATTTATCAGAGACATACAGTACATGCCGACTTCATCTCTATTTTCTTCTGATCTTCTCGTTGTGTTACTCGATCATCTTCTCAGTCTTCATCCTAAACGAATGGAAAACAGCTGATGGAGCTCAAACCACTGTCTGATTCAGCACTGCCAGAAGACTTACTGCCGTTAACCGATAGCACACTACTACCATATATGTATGTTTCACACTTGAAAGGAAACTGAAGCTATAGTATTGTTGAACAATCTGGCCCGATAATAAAGGCATCTCAGGTGCGTGTGTGTGTGTGTGTGTGTGTGTGTGTGTGCTCGCGCGTGTGTGTGTGTTTGCCCAAGTGTTTGTGCCTGTGTGTATCCTATACTATCTGACTACCATGAATCCAAAGCCTCTAACTGGCTGAGTCTATGTTTACACGTGAATGCATGCACCTTGAACACATCAAAATATATCTGAAACATGTATGTATTCTTAGCGTCGAGTTGTACGTGCTGCCTCGTGGTTTAAAAGACGAAGCAGAGTGTGATTAATGTGGAGAGAGGATTTTAAAAGGTCGAAGCAGCTGGTATTTAAGGGTTTTTTAAAAAAAACTTTTTCATTATAGTTTCACTGCAGTATGTCGGATCATCTGGGCTTAAAAGTCTAAGGAAGCCACATTAAAAAGGACCACTGCAGCTGCAATGGTTGTTTGCAGCTCTAAGCAAATAAATGCAAAGCTGTTTTTATTTATTTATTTATTTATATATATGCTGGCACCTCCCCATACAGCTTCACCTGCTCACTCACAGCTGCCCCAGAAGTTTTCTGCAAGTTTTACATATATGGATTTACATAACGGATAGTAAAGATTTCAAATCTTTACACCTGGACTCTTTACCCCTTGAGAGCCCGCTAGCAGTAACCCTTAAAGCTCTTCTGTCATGTTTCAGGGCTGCTTATAGAAGAAAATGACTGGGCGTACATCAGAAGTCAGGTCGTATCTGCCCGTGTAGCTACCTGGGAAAACCTGGAAACTGCCTGTTTGAACAATGAAATAAATGCCAGAAATTTGTAATTTTTTGAAAATGTAGAGTTTATTGAACTTTCTGACAAAAGTTTTAATTTGTATCATTTGTCAAAAAAACAAAACAAAAACCAGAAACACTGACTCAAAAATCTCACAACAGCTCATGTATTAGATATGACAAACTTAGCTAGTAGTCGTCAGAACATCTTTACTGATGTATACTGAGGTGTGAAAACTGGTCATTAAGGGCAGAGGGGAGGTCGTTAAATCTTAACTTTCTGGGGGAAAGAGTTTGTACTTCAATAACACTTTAAGCGACGCTGCACAACCCCCTAAATTTGCTGCAAAACTCTGCAAAAGTTTGCATTTGGAGTTAAATCCATCACTGTGATGAGCACTTGTGAAATGCTGTTTATTTGCCCGTGCAAGTGTAGTAGGTCATGAGGTAACGCATAAGGTGAGCGTTACCTTTAAATGTTGAGGTCGACACACAAACCTGGATTCAGATCCAAACTGCAGCTCAGTTTTTCCTCTATCGCTCAACGTGTTTTAAGGATAAGCCGCTAACTAGTGGACAAAAACTGACAACCAGCACAAAACTGGACTGAAAACAAGTTATTTTATAATATCACCTTGTTTGTGTAGCCACTGTTGCCTCAAGACATCTAATAATCATTCTTCATTCTATACTGAAGGGTCCAAAAACAACACAATGACACCAAACCTCGAATAAAAGTGATAAAATAGTCTGAGGGTAACACAATACTTTATCATTTTGTACATTTGAGACCCTAGCATGAAGGGAAGTGCGTTTGTCGCACGGTGGATATCTTATTTAAAACTGAAACAGAGTTACTCTGGAGTATTCGTGCTCTCAGTGTTTACTCGAGTTTCTGGGATGAACCAAACAACTGAGAGAGTTTACAGTTTGTCTTGTATCCAAGCCAGGTCTGGCTGCGGTGAGATAAAGTAAAGGATTTGATGTGTGTCTTGTCTTGATTACAGTATGTGTCTCATTCAGACATACACCCCACCTGCCTTTGTAAAGATCTTTATAACAGCGTCCACGAAGCCTCGTGGACCCTCTGTATATTATTTATAGACGCTCTGTGATTGTGGAGCTGCTGACTCTGTTCTCAGTCCTGCTGGTGTTTCCTTTCTCGTCCTACAGGACTGATTATATTATCTCGCCCTTATTCTAGTTTTCATATTGGTTATTGTGTCTGTGGTGCTTTTTGTGCTGTGATAAGCCGATATGATGCCAACAATGCTTTTATCTTTTCTATTTCTCTTGTAATAAAAAAGCTTTTTTCATGCATTTTTATGTCGTTTTTTATAGTGTTTCACCTTTTTTGTAGCTCATGTAAGGAAAAAAGGTTATTTTCATAAGTAGTTTTGTTACACCAAAAACATATTACAAAATGAGCTCCAGATGTATCTAAACTACATTATAGCGACCAGTCTGTCCTTTGATCTTGTTTCATACCACTTTAATTCAATCAAGACGTCATTTTCAAGGAGACTGAAATAAATTGAGGCAGACTTATTTTATATAATTAGTCTCATATGATGAGAGGAAATGTGACACCAGAAGAAGGAAAAAAAAGAAGGTAAACATACAGTCACAATAAAAAACAAAGTACACAAATTATGAGGTTTTACATGTCGATACATAATAAAAAACAATCTGGTCCACAGAAGGTCTTAAAACTAGGTAAATCCAACCTTAATAAGAAAACAAAATATTTACAACACTATGCAGAAGAGTGTGAAAAGTAAGTGCACCCATACTGCTGCTACATGAATTAAGAGGGTAAGTGGGGGCAGGTGCTGCTAATCAAATGCACCAATAGGCTGAACTCTATTCTGCTCAGTAATAATTTTATCTCTTTATAATCTTATTGGTGTGGTGTGGCCCCCCACAGCAGTCCCAGTTTTCTAATGGGGTAATTTTTAAGCCCATCCCTGTATTTAACTGAACATCAGCAAGTGTGAGCATCTCTATAAAAGTAGGGGTTCTCTTACTCTGCCAGAAAGGACAGACATTGGTGATAATCTTAAGAGGAAGGAACTGCTCTGGGAAGTCCATCATTCCACAGCAAGAATTTTGGCTTTTGTGTTTATTTTGTAAATAAATCATGACACTGTGCAGTATGTCATGTTGATGTTCATCTGGGGTTGTATAAGTCATTTTAAGACTTAGTAAGGATTCGATAATTTCTATTATATATTATATATAGGGTGCAATACTTTCCACGACTGCAGATCTATTATCAAGACGATTACCCTATTTTATTTTTTAAGTGGAATATATAAAACCACGCGTTAAAAGACCACGTTGTTTCCTTCTTATTCCGATTTACTGTTGTAGTTCGTGCTAGTGCCGCCTCTGTCCGCCAGGGGGAGTCGCCTCTACACACTCTGGTGCCAGAGCAGGTGTAGCGAGGTGAAGCGTCGCGTGTGGCTCGGCTGTTTCCGTCACGGCTCGGCAGTGAACCGCTGTGGATGTGGGAATGCGGTTGCCGGAGGCTGTGGGCATTGCTGGACACTCGGCGGAGATGTACGCACGGGAGCAGGAGCCCACAGCGGCTGGCTGTCGTCCAAGTTAACGGGCTGTTTTGGGGATGTGGGTGGGACCCCTGGACGGCTGGGTGTCGCTCGGAGCAGGGCAGCTGGGTGTTTTCTCCCCCCCATTTTTTGGAGCCTGTGATTTTTCTGCACGGTAGGGGAATAAGAGAGACGCCAGGAAGGATTCCCCAACACTATGGAGCCACGCATTGCAGACAGCGTGAGTACAAACGCACAGACACCGGCAGAGCCCCCGGGGGACTGGGCTCGCCTCTGCTGGAACCACTCATCAACTTTTCCGCGACCTATTTTATTGACAGGCAGACGCGTCACTGCTACCTGCTCCCCGATATGTAAAAAACAGGTTTTCTTTCTCTCTCTCTTTGTTGAGCGTTGCGCAGATGTCCAAACAACATTGAGATAAATTGATAATTAATTGTGTGTAACGACCTCGCGCAGTAACACAGACGCACCTGCTGCCGTCAGAGATCGGCTGCTGTGAGTTTTCCGCGCCGCGCCTGACGGCTCATCAGCGGATTAATTTCTGAGGATCTTCTCCTGCCTTTTGTTGCCACAGCGGTTGCTACTGACGACCAGTGAATCCAAAGTCGTAAACAGACGGACCGGCTGTAAATAACGGGCTGTCACAAGTTCAGTCCTATATTATAATGTAGGCGTGGGCTTTTTCCTTAACGCACTGCTTAAATTTGACCTTCTGCTGGTAAAGACAAGGACAACCACAAGTCTGTGTGACATGGTTACTAAATGTAACACGACCTCCTGGGTTACTAAACGCAACCCAATTTACCAGTGCGAAAAGGTATCCCCTCCCTCTGTGTGTGTTTCTTTCTGCGTGTAGGATTGAGTTAACTGCAGCCAAGTAGCCAGATTACCATGGATTAGCTGGCATTTAAAATAGTCACGTTATCCCACCAGTCTCTGCACAGTCAGCTACAACAACACCTTTTAGGTTGCCTGCCAAATGTTTCTGCAGTAAAGGAACTTAGGGTTGTAAATGGGATGCAGTTAAAACGGGTTGGATGAGGTTCTGCTTTCACCTGATGCAGCTGATTCCTGATGAGACCCTTACTACAGGTCTATCGGTCAAAAGAGTTCATGCAAAGATACGAATGAAGCTGATCCACCTTAGGGGCATAGATGGGAAACAGACTTTTTAGGATGTAGGGTATTTTAAAAAGATTTGGTTGGTTGGTAGGGTAGGGTAGGGCTTAATTGAAGGTCCTGAGCCACCGCTCATTTCTTTATATTTGGCTTGGAAAGGTGCAACGATTTACTGAAACGTGTTGAACAAACGTGGAAATACAGTTAGTGAGGCAAAAACACCCAGCTTTAAAGTCAATATTTGGTATGATCACCTTTATTCGTCACACAAGCTGAACTCTCTTAGTTAAGCTTTCTTGTCATTTCTTCTTAAGCAATATTTCTCCTGGCTTCTTGAACGACATTCAAAGCTCTTCTTTGGAGGTTGGCTGCTTTTTGTTCTGCTTTCTGTTAAGATGATCCCCACACTGGGGAGGCCAATCCATGACTGAAAGTGTTCCACTGTGTGTTTTTCTATCCAAGTATGACTTTACTGCACTGATGGTGTGTTTGGGATCATTGTCATGGTATTACATGATGGATCAAAATCTGATGGTACTTTTCTGTTTTCATAATTGCATCAATTAAGACTTAAATTTTTAAAAAAACTGCAAAATATAAACAAAAGAGGGTTGGCTTAAGATTTTTGCACAATACTGTATATATACAAATTAAATATAAAAATAAAGAAAATCCATTTGAATAATTTAGCAGTGTTTTTAAGTGCGGGTTTTAGGCTTTCAATGTGGTGATTTGCTGCTTTACTCTGTTCTTTGTAAATAAATAAATAAATAAATGTGCTTCCAAGTAGTCAGCCTTAGGTCATTTATGTTCTGTGATTGTTTTATTTAGTTAGTTTATTTAGTTTTATTTTTAAAAAAAATTTAAAGGCACAAAAAGCATTATTCTAATATACTAAAAAAATAAGTAGTTGCAGAGAGAAAACTCTGTGTGCCATATGGGTCTGTTTGCTGTCCACACTATATAATCTACACAAAAATTATCTATTAAGTGTTTATTCGTTTATTTTGTCCCCCAGAAAATATTTAAACCTGGCAGTAATGAGATCTGGTGTCATAATGAAATGATCATAATATAGTGGTGTGTTCATAATATTAAACATAACAACCACTGCAGACACTGCTTGATTTTCAAAAAGGCAGTTTCATTGCAGTATCCAGTGTTCCCCTTCAGCACAGAGCCAGAGTCCTGGCCGGCTTTTTTTTTTTTTTTTCTCAACCAAGCCAAAGTCAAGAGTCTGGCGTGAAAACAGCTTAGTGCTTTCAATAAAATCATTAAAAAGCTAAAAGCAGACGGTATTATTTAATCCCAGAGGACGTAGACGGGCTGTTAATGATGAATGGGATCCTTCAGCTTTGACCTGAACATCATCTGTTTTATTTTTCCAGCGTGAAAGGTGACAGTGAAATGAATTGCAGAGCATATGACAGTCAGCTGTACACACTGTGCTGCTGCACATAGAGGCAAAAATACTATCTGCATCAAGGTACTCACCACACACACACAAACAGAGTTTTGTGTTTGTTTTTGTCTTCATGGTCTGTTTACAGTGGATACATTTAGATTTTCTTTATCGTCACCAGCTACAGATATTATGTGTTTGATGTAGTTGTATGTCCAGTGTTACTGCATGTTTTTCTCATGTTTGTGTGCATTTAATTTGGAAATTAGGCATGCACTGATCCAGCTATTTCCATTTCAGATATTATATTGTTATCTTCCCTTCTGGTATCTTCGGATACAGTTGCTACAGATACAGATCTAATTTAGTACCAGTGTTAGATTAATAAGCTGTGTTCCTCACTGTGAGGAAGACACCTGGAGCCATTCTTTTAAATGTAGGCAACCTCAAGCTCAAACAGTTTTAAGAAGTTAATAAAATGAAGAATTAAAAAAAAGGTTTTTATTATTTGCACTAGTAGCTCAGTGTCAGAGTCTTTACTGTGTACTGGTGTTATTTATGGTTACTCTAGTTTCTGCTTTTCCTGCTCCCAGTCTCACTGTGACTGCATCTCCTTCACAAGTGTGTGTGGAGCTGGTTGGTGTCAGGTGAAGTGGAACAATAGCAATCAAGTTGACAGCACTATGTCATGTTGACTGTAAGTGCAATACAAGTTTCACAGCAAGAGCTAAACTGCACTTAATGAGAGTGAGAGTGAGAAGTTTACTGGGAAATCTTCATGTCTGAGCCTTTTCATAAGTCACATGACCACAGTTTGCTAAAGTCAGGAACTGTAGCAAACATGCAAAGAAAACTTTGAAATGACTTTAAATTGATGCACTACTGCTAACTCGTTCCAGGATAGAATTAAAAAGAATAGACTGGCTCCTTAGAACGGGCCAGTGAACTGATATCTAGTCCAGGTTTTTGAGTCAAGATCGGCTGGATATTCGATCCAAATATCGGATCGGTGCATCCCAACGTCAAACATCGAATTCCTGTGCATCAAACTAGGAACAAAGCATCTAAAAGTGTGTGTTCTTACTCACCAGTTGTGGAGTCTGTGAAGCAAACAGCAGCATCATGTTCTACGGTTCTTCTTCTGGGGCGAGTATGTCCCTGCCGTCCAAGAGCCGCTTGAAACGTCAGAGCAGGACCTTCACACAGGTACTCACACACAAACACTC